AGGGCATTGTAGCACTGAGCTACATTCCAAGCCCTTTTTATTTTTTATTTTGAGACAAGTGCTCAAAAAATTGCTTAGGGTCTCGCAAAATTGCTGAGACTGACCTCAAACTTGCAATTCTGCCTCAGCCCCCAAGTCAGGCCTGTGTTGCCACGTTGCCCAACTGGGACCAAATCTTTGAAGAGATTAGTGATGCCATCTTCACAGTGGTCAGAGGAGGGGCTCAGTCAGTTCATGGTGGAGCAGGTTCCTCAGGCCCCTGTCCTGAGGTGCACCTGGACTCCAGTGAGCCCAAGGTGGGCGCACCTTGGGTTCCCTCCCCTCCCTGAGCCCAGCTTCCCATCTGGGAAATGGGAATAACAACATTCTCCTGAGAGAGAAGTGACAGAATGGGGCCGGGGCGCAGCTCAGTGGGACAGCCCTTGCCTAGCATGCGGGAGGCCTTGGATTCAATCTCCAGCACCACCAAAAAAAAAAAAAGAGAGAGAGAAAATGTTTGGTCCATCCTTTGCTGAGTGCTTGGCAACTAGTAAGAAAAAGTTATAGAAAATATCTTGCTAGTCACATTTTATGACTTCCTGCAATTATTTCATTAGTGTTTCATAAATCTTTTGAGAGTTTAATATGGGGAAGTCTGGCTCTGTACTTAGTCACCTCGACAGCAATAGAATGCTCATTTTTTTGCCTGAAATAGCAGGAAGCACCACAGAGAAATCTGTCATTTTTGGTAGCAAATAAAGCATGTCCCACACACTTGTAAATGTACACTTTGTTTTTGTGTTTTTGAGTTGGTGTCTCATCTTGTTGTCTAGGCTGGCCTTGACATCTTGGCTGAAGTAATCCTCCTGCCTCAGCCACCCAAGTAGCTGGGACTATAGGCATGTGCCACCTGGCTTGGTTAAACACTTGTGCATAAATATTCAGAGTAGCTGGATTCATGATTGCCTCAACCTATAAGCAACCCAAGTGTTTATCAACTGGCAAAGGAAGCCTGGCCCCCCATGGTGCACACCTGCAATTTGGGGGCTGAGATAGGAGGGGGTCTTAAGTTTGAGACCAGCCTCAACAACTTAGCAAGACCCTGTCTCAAAGAATGAAAAAGGATGGGCTGGGGTGGTGTCTCAGTGGCAGAGCACCACATAAAAACAAATAAACAAAATAAAGGTATTATGTCCGTGTATAGCTAAAAAAAATATTTTAAAAAAATTTAAAAGGCTGGGGATGTGGCTCAGTGGTAAAGTGTCCCTGGGTTCAGTCCCCAGTGAAAGTGGAAGGGGGGCTGGGGAGAAGGTTATAAAAGAACATTGGCCAGAACTAATTTCATTATGCGCTTAAAAGTGGGAAAAAGATGTTGTTTTTAAAAATACCTACACCAGGGCTGGGGATGTGGCTCAAGCGGTAGTGCGCTTGCCTGGCATGTGTGCGGCCCGGGTTTGATCCTCAGCACCACATACAAACGAAGATGTTGTGTCCACTGAGAACTAAAAAATAAATATTAAAAAAAAAAAATTCTCTCTCTCTCTCTCTCTCAAAAAAAAAAAAAATACCTACACCACTCTGGGACATGGATAAAGCAATAATAAAGATAAGCAAATTCAGTAACCACAAGTGGTCAGACTTAATCACACATCAAATTTAAGTCAACCAACAGCTCATTATTATTATCAGTTAATCATACTCTCCATTCTCTGGGTTAAGTTTGCCTTCTCATCATTAGAGATGGACACATTTTACACTGAATAAACAAAATCCTTTCAGGTCCAAGTACCTTGAACCTAAGAGTGTCCCTTTAACTTAAGTGGATTCCTTCCTTACAGGCAGATTTGGATCTGACTTTATGCTTTTCTTGCGCAGAGGCGGAGTACTTATATTCTGTTTCTTAGGTCTTTGTTCTAAGAGCAGGGGAGCTCTGAGGGTTTTGGCCAGGGCAGCATCCTGGTTGGATAGATCTTCAGGTCCCAGAAACTGCCTTGTGGAGGGTGGATGGGGACACTGTGGAAGCAGCAGCAAGGCCCTGCAGAGGCCTGGCAGTTCCTGGAGCTGTGCGCCTCAAAGGGATCCAGTTTTCTCTGTGTAAATATTTCAGCTTTAAAGAAAGACCATCACGGCCAGGTGCAGTGGCGCACACCTGTAATCCCAGAAGCTTGGAAGGCTGAGGTGGGAGGATCGTGAGTTCAAAACCAGCCTCAGCAATTTACTGAGGCACTAAGCAACTCAGCAAGACCCTGTATCTAAATAAAATGCAAAAAAACCCTCAAAAAACAAAAACAAAAGGGCTGAGGATATGGCTCAGTGGTTAAAGAGCCCCTGGGTTCGATGCCCAATAGGGGCGGGGCGGAGGGGGGGAGGACTTGTCCACATAAAGTCCAAAATGAAATTCAGGACTTCTTGGCCAGAGTGGGAACCACGGACAAGTCTGGGTACTCGGGTGGTATTCTGCTCTTAGAACCTACAGTGTTTGAAGAGAGACTGGGAAAGGCACCGGGGAGGAGAGAGGATGCAGGACCAATCCAGGTGGGTGTGAGAACTGAGACTGAATTTCTGATTGGCCGCAGGAGCTCTTGCCAAAGTAAACTCCAGGGGTTCTTGCGAGGGAGGGCGCCAAAGGGAAGCTCAGACCTGTCCTGAGTGTCCTGGGGAAGCTGGGCAGGAAGGAGAGCCTGGGAGGAAGCAGCTCTTCCTTCCTCGCCCTCGCCCTCGCCCTCTGCAGATGCCCTCCTCTCCCAGACCTCCCTGCAGCTGTGCATAGTGAGCAAAGGAGGAGGCTGGTACAGGGCTTCCTCACCTGGGCTTGAATCTGGTTCTGCTGTTTTCTAACAGCATGATCCTGGACAGGTTGATTTACCGTGTGTGTGTGTGTGTGTGTGTGTGTGTGTGTGTTAGTTACTGGGGATTGAACTCAGGGGCGCCACATCCCCAGCTCTATTTTGTATTTTATTTATTTCAGCCTCCTGAGCTGCTGGGATTATAGGCGTACAATACCACACCTGGCCTTTCTTAAGGCTCTCTCTCTCTCTCTCTCTTTTTTTTAGAATTTTTTAATATTTATTTTTTAATTTTGTGGTGGACACAACATCTTTATTTTATTTTTATGTGGTGCTGAGGATCGAACCCAGCGCCCCGTGCATCCAGGCGAGCACGTTACCCTTGAGCCACATCCCCAGCCCTCTTTAGGCTCTTGAGGGCTCCTGGACCTGGGGCTGCTGGTCCCAGGGGATGATATCTTGGCATCTTAGACCTGGAAGGACCCGGGGCTGGCCCTGGGTTTGACCCACAGCACCAAGAGAAAGGAACTGGAGGACTCTTTTACAGGCCCTGGAGGGTACCTGGCATCTGTGGACAGCAGACTGGGCTAGGAATTCTGAGTACTCTGTTCCAAATTTACTCAGTGACCTTGGGTGACCTCTAGTGGCAAAGTATGACAACACGGTGTCCCAGCAAGGATGTGTTTGCAGGTTTGTACAATATTTAGTTGGTATGTTTGTCTTTGTAGCAGTACTGGGTAGAAATGCCGTGTGTGTGTGTGTGTGTGTGTGTGTGTGTGTGTGTGTTTGTACCGGGGATTGAACCCAGGGGTGCTTTTACCACTGAGCCACATCCCCAGCTCTTTTTGTTCTTCTAGAATTTGAGACAGGGTCTCACTAAATTGCTTAGGGCCTGCAATCCTCCTGTCTCAGTCACTGGGATTACAGGCATGTGCCACCACACCCAGGCTCCCGGCCCTTTTTGAGATTGGATCTTCCTAAATTGCCCAGGCTGGCCTTGAACTTGTGATCCTCCTGCCTCAGCCTCCTGAGTAGCTGGGCCTACAGATGTGCACCACTGCACCCCACTCTCCCCGACTTTAAGCATGCCTGTGTGGCTTGCCCAGTCCGTCTCTTCCTCTGGTGCCTCCTCCTCCCTCCTCCTGGGCTTTCTCCTAGCCGCTGGTCCTGCCTGTTCTCTACAGAACATTTTCTCTGGGTCCTGCCAGCCCCAGGCCTGCTCTGAGACCCGTGAGGCTGGGCTGAGCCCCTGTGCACATTCCTGGGGCAGTGAGTGGGGGCTAGTTCCAGGTCCTCAACTGAGGCTTAGGATCCCAGGGACATTCCTGATGAGTCCCCACCGTCCTCCAGGAAGGCCTTTGGTTTGCAGTGGTCCTGCCCAGATGACCTGTGACCCTTTCATGGGGGAGATGGCCAGTGCACACCCTTGCCTGAGAGACCCACCAGGACCTGGGTGGGCACAGGGTGGGGTGTGGCTGGGACTGAGCCTGGGACAGTATTTGGCCTTGGTTGGGGGGTGAGGCTCTTTCGGGCTTGTTTTGGAACTGGGAGAGGAGGCTCCCCTGGGACCTGAGTGGGTGGAGCCTAGGCTTAGGGCCTCTGGGTGCTGCTCACACCCGCTTGCCCTGATCTCATACTGCCCCGCACTGTCCTCTGGCTGTCAGTGACCTCTACAGCAGGTCACAGGGCCATGGTGGGTGCAGCCTCTGTCCCCAGACCCTCCTGGGGTGGCTGGAACACACATAGACCCTCTGGGGATCTCAGGCGGGGTCTGCTGCTCCCCATTTCCACCCAGCGTCCACCCCAGCGTCCCCAGTGTTCCAAGGCAGCAGCTGGTGCAGGAGGCTTTGGCTGGCTGCCTGGTGTCCTGGGGTGGCACCTCCTTTCCACTGCTGAGGGTGCAGCCCAGAGCCCACCCTGTGGCTGCTTGGGGTGACAGGGTGGGGTCACCCAGGGCAGGTGATCAGGTCCCCACCTCCTCCCTGAGCTTCTGGGACACTGGCCTTATCCGTGCTCCAAGGCTGCTCCCTCTGCTGGTCTGCCTCAGCTCAGAGCATAGCCGCCCCACTTAGGGGTCCTGGCCCTGAGGTGTCAGGGACACAGGGCTGGGGACTTCTGGTCAGAGGGGAAGTACGGCAGCCGGGGAGTGGAGGTGGGGTGGGGGGAGGCGAGGAGAAGGAGGATTTGGGGCCCCAGGGCCCTGATTTTACCAAAAGCACAGTCACAGACCCTGAGTAGTGCTCAGCCTTCTATTGGAGACTCTGCCTCCCTGGGACAGGGGTGTCCAGGTGTCCTGAGCACTCCCAGGAGAGTGGACGGGCAGGGGCGGGGGCCTGGTGCTGTCCTCTTGGGGACGTGGCGAGCTGGCGCGTGTGTGGGTGCTCATGAAGTGCTGTTGACACCAGGACCAGGGCCGCATCCCCGGGGCAGCCTAGGGACAGGCGCCCTCGCTCCCGAGGCCTTCCGCCTCCCTGGACCACGGTCCTTCAGTGTCTCTCGGGGCTGGACCCCACCCCTGGGTGGCCCGGTGGTGCGTGTGCGTGGGGCGGAGGGAGGGCCGGCCGAGGGCCCCCGGGCCTAGTCGTCCTTGTCCTTGGCCCCGTGCTTGAGGATGCGGGTGAACTCCACGTAGTTGAAGTTGCCCTTCTTGTCGATGGGCGCCTCGCGGTACATCTCGTCCACCTCCTCGTCGGTGAAGCGGTCTCCCATGGTGGTGAGCAGCTCCCGGAGGTGGTCCTCATGGATGGAGCCTGGGGGCCGGGCCAGGTATGTGAGGGCAGGGACCTGGGCTGGGACGCACCAGACCCGGACCTGCCAGCCCACCTTCCTTGCAGACCTCACGGCCGGAGAGAGGCCAGGAAGGTGCCACCCTAGTGTGCTCAGCTCAGGGAACAGGGGACTTGGGTGGGAAGGCCCAGGAGCGCTGCCGGGTCTACCAGGAAGAGCTCTTGCCCTAGTCCTGTCTGCAGGGCGATTCTGCAGGGCGTGGGGCTGTGGGTGCAGGGAGTGCTGGGCACACCGTTTTACAAGTGAGCTCTGCAGTTCCACGGCCTGAGTTGGAATGGTAATCTCCAATCTTTGCTGTGTGACCTTGGGCAAAGTACCTAAGCTCTCTGTGCGTACTTGACCTGGAAAACAGGGCTGAAAATATCCCAACCTGGCAAGAGAACTATAAAGATGGAAAAATGTTCTGAACATGCTGGGGCCAAGGCAGACCTGGGGCCACTGCGAGTCCACTGTTGCCACCTTCACTCAGCATGTCCCTGGGGACAGCTGTCTGCGGGACAGAGGATCTGGGTGGCTGGGACTGGCTTCTGTTCCTTGTTGGCAAGAAGGGCGCCTGACTTGATTTCTGGAAAGCTCTACAGCAGAGGGACAGTGGGGGTGGGGGTGGGGGTGAGAAGAGGGAGTGGGGCGTCTTGGCGGGCCTGGGCTGCCCTGTGAGTGGCCTGGGAGACAGCAGGAGGGGCCTGGCTTTGGCCGCGGCCGGGGAGGTGCCTGGGTGGCCCGGGCTGACCTGAGGCCTCCTCGTCGAAGCAGGCGAAGGCGTTGCGGATCACGTCCTCGGGGTCGGTGCCGTTCAGCTTCTCCCCGAACATGGTGAGGAACATGGTGAAGTTGATGGGCCCCGGGGCCTCGCTCATCATGCCCTCCAGGTACTCGTCCGTGGGGTTCTTCCCTGCACGGGCGGGGGCCGTCGGTGCTGCGTCCAGGCCCCGCCTGGCACTGCCCTCCCCGCCCGGCCCAGTGGCCAGCTTGGCAATGGACAGCACGGTGCTGAGGCAGGCGGCCTTCTGATTTGAGGCCTGGCCCGGCTGCCACAGTCCCTGGCCGCCACCACCAGTCACCCTGCCCGTCTGGTAGGAGCATCTGTGGACCAGTGAGCCCGTGAAGACAGCGTTGCCACTCCCACTCCACAGACAGGCAAGGAGGCTGGTCCAGGGCCACAGCCAGTAAACGGGGAGCATGACACCAAACCACTCGAACCCAGGTAGCCTGACCTCGAGCTCCAGACAGAATTTCAAAAGTGGTCAAAGTAGCAAGTTTTGGTGTCACGCAGGCCTGGATTTGCACCCCAGCTCTGTGCCTTAGTTTCCCATGTCTCTTAAGAGCACTGTGAAGGTGAATAAGGTAATGGCTGCAAAACACCTGTAGGGATGACAGGCACAGCCCTCACACTGGGCTGAACTTAGGGCTCATCCAGCTCTACCACTTAGATGTGTGACACTGGACAAATTACTTAACCTCTCTGAGCCTCAGTTTCCTCCTTTAGGAATGATAATCATGTCTACCAGATGGGGAGGAGCCTTGGACGTCCTCCTCAACATGTTGCTGTGTCCCGATAGGACAGTTTGTGAAGCTGAGGCTTAGGAGAGCTAGGACCTGCAGGACTTGAGTAGAGCACCTAGGGCCACCCCGCTCCCCTGGCTTCTGTCCCCCTTGGATGAAACTGGAGGGCCCCAGGTGAGAGCCCTGCTGGGCGACCTCCCGGGAGAGGGAGGCTCCAAGTGAGCCTGGCCCGACTCTAGAGAACCTGTCCCTCCTACTCCGCAGGCCAGGAGCCAGGGCACAGACGGGCAAGGAGCCGGTCCAGGGCCAGGGGAGGCAGCGTCCAGGTGAGCCCGCCTCAGGTGGCCTGTTCTCACCAGCTGCCTCAGGAGGGTGTGGGAGGCCAGGTGCCCGCTACAGGGGCAGGGAACGGGCAGCGCTAGGGCCTTCCCGGGGCTGCTGGCTTGACCTCACGCTGCCCGGTGACGCCCGACTTCCTGCCTGGCTCTGGCCAGGTGCCTTCACCAGGACGGCTGAGCTCCAAGAGCGGCTGCCCACGGCCAGCACATGCGGAGCAGCGGCCTGGCCTCTGGAGCGGTTTCCTCACTGAGCAGAGGGAGTTGGAAGTGACCCTGGGCCCTCAGGTGCCAGGATGCTGACTGGAGAGGTCCCTGGGGTGGGGGAGGGGCTCCTGTCCCCGGCCGACTCAGCGTCCCCCTACAATGGAGCCTGCAGTTCAAACTCCTCTTCCTTCTTTAATTCAGAGACTCAGTCTCACCAAGTTGCGCAGGAGGACCTTGAACTTATCCCCTGCCTCGACCTCCCAAGTCACTGGGGTCGCAGGCTTGTGCCCCCACACTGGCCTGCAGCTCACTCTTTCATTCAGCTCAGTCCTCTATTTTTATTTACTTTTTTGTTTTTAAAATGATTTGTTTGGGGGCTGGGGTTGTGGCTCGGCGGTAGAGTGCTCGTCTCCCATGCATGGGACCCTGGGTTCGATCCTTGGCACCACGTAAAAAATAATTGAGTGAAACAAAAGTATTGCGTCCAACTATAAAATAAATTTTTTAAAAAATAAATAAATAAAATGATTTGTTTGTTTCTTATTACTATTATCTGGTACTGGGATGGAACCCAGGGATGGGTTTACCCCTGAGCCACATCCCAGCCCTTTTTATTTTTTGAGACAGGGTCTCTAAGTTGCTGAGGTTGGCCTCAAACTTGCAATCCTCCTGCCTTAGCCTCCTGAGTCATTGGGATTACAGGCATGGGCCACCATGCCTGGCCCAACCCCCTTCTTTAAATCAAATGTCACTGGGCATCCGATTCATGCATCTGCCCAAGACGGCCCCACTCTGCAGTCAGCCTGAAAATCCTGTGCTGGATCCCAGACACATTCCAGAACTGCTCTTTGCCTCAGTTTCCCTGTCCACAGAGTGTGTGAAGCACGAGCAGCTGCACCTAGGGCGGCCACCACAGGACTTGTGACAAAGGAAGTGCTCAGGACGTGCGGAGCAGCCCTGCGGCCCCTGGGATCCCGCACCCCCCGCTGGCCTGGTCCCTGCTCACCTAGGGAGGCCAGCATGTCATGCAGGTCCTCCTTGTCGATGAAGCCGTCCCGGTTCTGGTCGATCATGTTGAAGGCCTCCTTAAACTCCTGGATCTGGGACTGGTCAAACATTGCGAAAACATTGGACGTGGCCCGCTGTGGCCTCTTCTTGGTGGTCTTGGCCTTGGCCCGCTTGCTGGACATCTTGGCTTGAGGTGGGTGGAGCTTCCCTGCAGGGAGGGGGTGCAGGGCATACCTGGGTCAGGGGCTCTCCCTGACTCCCCCAGATGGCTGCAGGCCTGGCCTTCACGGCCTCCCAACACCCAGTTCTTCACAAAGGCAGAGACTAGGGATTGAACCCAGGGGGTGGGGACACTTAATCACTGAGTCACACCCCCAGCCATATTTCTTTATTTACTGGTACTGGGGATTGACCCCAAGGGTGCTTAACCATTCAGTCACATCCCCATCCTGCCCTTTTTTTAAATCCCCATCCCTTTTTATTTCATATTTTGAGATAGGGTCTCACTAAATACTGAGGCTGGCCTTGAACTTTTGATCCTCCTGCCTTAGCCTCCCAAACTGCTGGGATTACTGGGGTGCACCACTGCACCCAGCTGGGCTCTGTGATCTTGAACAACTTCCTCTCTCCAAGCCTGAGCCTTCTCGTCTGGGAATGGGGATAAACTAACCAAGTGCTTGAAAAGCACCTGAAATGGTCCCGGCACAGTCAGGTATTTTTGCTCATTTAGGACTAGACGGGTATGTCCTTTAATCCTGACAGCACTCACTGCCCAGCTCTCTCTCTCTCCAAGTGGCAAGATGGGGCTCCACGGGGGAGGCAGAGGGGGTTCTGCTGGGCCTCCTTCCAGCAGCCCTGGGACCCACAGGAGGGGCCTGACCAGCAGGCTGCATGCCTGACATTCTTCCTCCCCTCACCCCTCCCCATCCCGTGGGAGGCTCTGGGAACTCTGAAGCCCACCCCCCACACCACATGTCCTCCCAAGGCAGTCTGCCAGCCCCTGGGCGAGTGACAGACCGGTTCTGGGCCCTGTCCTGTGCTTTCAGGGGACTGAGGTCCCCAGGCTGAGGGGCCAGTTTCTATTCTCATTGTGCAGATCCAGCCTAACATCTTTTCTGTCCCATTCACTGGCCACTTGGAAGCGCTGGGAGGTTCCTGCTGCCCCCAGCCCCTAAGCAAGCCTGTGACCTTCAGCCTGGCATTCAAGGCCTTGAGAGCCCTCCCCCTCTCCCAGCCTGCACCCCTCCCTCCTCCATCTCCAGCCAGGCCCCAGGCTTCCTCTCAGGCCCTCCTGCAGGGCCCCTTCTTCTGGGCCAGGGCCGGCTGGAAGCTGCTGTCCCCACCCTTGTTGGACATCCACACTTGAAGCCCTCTCTCCCTCATCCCGGGGCCAGCCGACTGGCACAGCCACTGCCACCATGGGCTGGGGATGCTTGGTGAGTGAGTGGCTGTCTGAGGGCGTCTGCTGCACAGATGGGAAACTAAGGTCCTCCCTGAGTCTTTGTCACAGCTGTGGGGACTGTGTGCCAGAAGGCCTAGTCCTGCTCCCCTCAGCAGGCAGAGGCCCAGGAGGGCGGCTGCTCCTCTCTCCTCTGTTCCGAGCCCTGGGTCCAGGGTCTCCTCTGCCTGGGCTACTGCTCTTCATCCAAGATTCCGCAAGACCTTGACCTTTTGCTTCCTTCCTTCCTTGCACTGGACTGAACCCAGGGGGGCTTTACCACTGAGCCCCATGCACAGTTCTTATTTTTTTGTTTTTTAATTTTGAAATGAGGGTCTCGCCAAGTTGCTGAGGCTGGCCTTAAACTTGTGATCCTCCTGCCTCAGGCTCCTGAGTAGCTGGAACTACAGAGGCACACCACCATGTCCAGCTGGCCCTGGGCCTATGGAAGCTTATGCCCGAGCTGGGGTTTGGCCATCCAGCACGTCCTTGGGGGCCATAGTTGCCTGAAGTCTTGAGACTGGCCGCCTGTAGCCCACCTGAGTGGGAGTGGGAAAGTGCTGAGGGTAGGGAGTGCCATTGTCCCCAGAAGCCGGCCCCCTCCTCTCTGTGGCTTAGAGGGCCCAATTCTTCCCAAGCTCATTGTTCTCTGGGAACCTGGACTCATGGTGAGCACCAAAGGCTGCCACAGAAGTCCACTCTGCCCTCCAAGGCTGAGGTGGTCATCACTGTCACCATCTGCCTGCAGAACTCTAGGGCAGGTGTGCCCAGGCTCGCCCATGCTCTCTCTGAGCCCACCGGGGCACTGTGCCTTTGAGGCCACCGGTCCCCAGCACGTGAAGGCCAAATAAGGTGTGCAGCCAGGATGTGGTGAGGGCACCAGGCGCCTCTGTCCACTGGCATGACCTTGGGAGGAAGGGGTAGCGGCTCCAGGTGTGCGGTTCAGGAAACAGGCAGGAGAAGGCGAATGTGTGCCCCTAAGGGGTGAGGGCCAGGGGGAGGCCAAGACCCTGGCAGGCTTGGGTTGGGGGGCAGCAAACTGTGCCCCGAGGTCCTTGAGGCCTTGACAAAGAGGCTGACCATGCAGGGGCCAAGGCCTGTCGCCACAAGCAGGTTGAGAGACCAGGGTCAGACACAGGGCCTTGGGCCCTGGAGCCAACCCTTCCTCCTCCCCAGGGTCCCAGACACCAAAGACCAGACAGTGGCTACTTGGCCTGGCTGTGACCAGATGTCACCTTTCTCTTATAGTGTCTAAAATTCTACCATAACAGCAAAGACCTGGGTAGAAGCCAGATCAGGCCTGTGTCCCCTTGCTGTGACTGGGCGATGCCAGGGGCCCTGCTAAAGGCTCCTCTCATCTGAGGATGAATTACTTGACTTCCCTCAGAGCTGCCAGAGCTGGAGGCTGAGAAGATGGCCCAGAGGGGGTAAGCTCCAGGGTCAAAACACACAGCACTTGGTGTGAGTAGTGTGTGTGTGTGAGAGAGAAAGACAGAGGACACACACGCTCCTGGTCACCATCCCTCTTTCCTGTCCCAGGGTGTGGGAATGAGATAAGAGAGGGGACATGGATGCTCTGGAAGGGCATGGAGGCTGGCAGGGCTCAGTATCCCAGAGGCACATGGCTTCTTGAGTCAGGGAGTGCGGGCCACCTCAACACCCCTCTGGGACCCCCGAGTTCTGGGCGTGGAGAGACAGAGCGGGACAACTTGTTCCCTCGCCAAAGGACCACTGTTTCCCAGATCCGGGGACAGTCCCGCCGCCGCCCAGCCCCAGGCTCGGACCCCCGTGGAGCGAGCGAACTCGCAGCCCAGCCCGCACCGCTGTCCACGCCCAGCAGACCCTTGCCTTCCTTGTCCCTGGGGCCTGCGCAGAGCCGGTGACGGCCGCGTCGCCGGCCAGTCCGACCACCTACTGTAGACACCCTGCGCTGGCCGGGGCGGGCTCCCACCTGGTGCGGAGAGGCGCTGGGGCGCGGAGAGGCGCGGCTGGCGAGGCGCTCTGCCGGGGCTCTGGCTCTG